ACATTATTAAATACTTTTTCCACCTTTAACTCTAGTGGCACCATAGTGTGAAACATTTGCACAGGTGCAGTGACAGCCTTTCTGCCTAGAGGGCACTATAGAGCACAGTTCCTGCAACGATTAAGCACGTGTGATAGAGAGAAAAGGGAGGCGGGGGTGTTTGGGGTGGACAGTTTTATGGCAGTTCTGCCATTCAGACCAATATAGGGTGGTCTACTTTCACTCCCAGACATCACACATCTATTCTGCCTTTCTCATTACTGAGTGAATGATGCTTCAGTAGTTTCTGGACAAGAAACAGCAGTTTGCAATAAGAAAACACTAAATAAATACTGACGAGGAATAACATTATGGCTACCTGATTATGCTGCCCTCCTGACCCATTGAGAAATTGACTCCACTAGATCCCTTAAGGTGTGCTGTAGAATCTGGCACCTAGATGTTAGCCGCAAATCTTTTAATCCTTTAGGATAGGAAGTAAAACCTCCAAGGATTTGTTTATTTGAGCTTGTTTTTCCAAATCATCCCACATATGTTTGACTGGGTTAGGACCTGTAGAATCTGAAGTCCTAAAATAACATTCCTGATGTTTCTTTTATTTTATTTATTGCAGCAGGATGCATTATCCCGGTGTAAGAGACCAGGGCAATCAGGAATGGCCTTGGCACCCTAACTGGCCTGCAGCTATGCATTCCCACTACAAACTAACTTGAGTTTTAAGAGTTTATCTTTCAGACAAGTGAAGAGGCACATAATCTAAATCACCTGAATCAAACTGTGAGGTTTCTAGTTAGTTTGATCTGCTCACAGCTCACACTGCCAAATGTACCAATACTGGTTAAACAGGAGCACTAAGGGGTGTAAATCACTCCCATCATGGCGTTTCGATTTAGTATCAATTTCCCGACCCAACGATTCGATTATTTTCGATACTAAAGAATACACCACAATACGATTTGATTAATTGGTTACATTTTTTTTTTTTACCTTGCAGGCTAGAGAATGTTTCAAATTGGAAATAAATCAATGAAAACTGTAATATCATTATGCATTTTATTTGAGAAACAACAGCAAATAACAAAAGTAGCAAAGTTGTACTCCACCTAGGCCAATGAAAACCTCATTCACACCACATGGGGTGTGCAAGTCATCTTCGAAAATAGGTTAGTGGCTAAAGGAAGCGAGGCAGGAGGGCAAAATAGGTTTAGCGCCACCGCAGCATCGGGAGTCAGAATTACATCTGGGAGCAAATGGATAAAAATAGATCAGAGGAAAAAAACAACAACAAATTAATCGATACTCTTGCGGACGTGTCGATGCATCAGATTGTCGCTGTTGGATCGATGCGTCGATACAAAATGATTATTATATACACCTCTAGTAGCACTGTGCTTAACTGGCCAGGGAATCACCTGACCTGAACTAAACCGGTAATTCACTGGAAGAAAAGACACCACAGATATTTATGCTGGTGAGATGAGCTATTAATTCAGGCTGGGCCTTAGCTCAGCTGCAGGCCCATTGCCTAATACAGAGCCCCAGGTTAATATATACTCTAAATACTATACCATACTTTTACATTTTCAGAAAGCCCATATTTACATAGTAAAAATATATTTTGATTTGCCCTTTAACCTCTTGCTAATTTGAAATACCCCCCACACACAACACAAGCATTTTTAAGTAAATGTAATAAAGGTGTTATAATCAATGTGATGTATAATTAATGCTACCTTAATTAATGTGGTTCCAATTGAGTCAATCCCATGTTGCTGATATGCTGACCATCAGCTTTCGTTTTGTTATGCATTGGTTCCTGTTTAGTCATACAAACCACTCTAAGCAAACCAGAGTCAATGTTGTCAATCAAGTTCGTTCAGTTGGTTTTCACTGGAAACTAAAACGCTCCAGGCTAAGTTCAAACTTTTTACATGTGCGTACTTAACATTTGGCACGAAAACTTATAATCAGCACAATGTTCAACACTTTCGCTTATGCATTTCAAAAAACAAAAGGTTTATTCAAAGTTGGGTAGCTGCTGTCCTTGGCACCATTTAGTTGCTATGGTAATTGCCTGGGGATCCCGGAAGTACGTTAACATACCGTACAGACAAGCACTATCTTTTAGCTGGAATTTGTTTAATATTTTGGATAGAAAAAAAAAAATCTGCTTCATACCAACTCTTATATTCCTTACACAATATGGTAAAACAATCATTTAAATTAAAATAATTATTACGGTCTGATCATTTGTTAAATTCTTACATGACATTTAGCATACAGATGTTGCAGTAAAATGTATTCAATACATTTTACTGCATATATGTTGAATTTAAAGAAAAGGCTACAAATATACCTTTTATACTGCATTTGCTCTCCAAATTAACTTTTCTTTTACAGAAACCCTAAAAAAAAAAAAAAAAGATTTAATTTCAATTCTACATGTGTGTGCACATGTGTTTTATCAGAGTTTTAACCATTTTTATTTTAAAGTCAATGTATATTCTCTCCATTTCAACCACGTTTGAAATACATTTTACAATTAAAGTTTTTCTTATTCTTGTATCCTTTAAATTGTTTAGTTTTGTCTCTGGGGTATTCCTCATTTCTTACTACTTTCTCAGCTTTATGTTTCAATATTTCTACCAGTTTCTTATTTCAGTCACGTGGCAAATAATATATTCTTTTGGTGTGAATGTGGTCTACTTGTTGCATGAACTTATGTAGAGCACTTTGTCATAACTGATTGTATAAACTGTACTCCACGAACATAATCTAATTCAGTGATTATTACCGTCACAATAATTAGCTAATAATGTAGTTATAAGCTTAAACTAAGCACGGCTCATCCTGGCATCATAAAACAACTCTCTGGAGTGAAAGAAAGATGAGTGCTGCCATCTTTGGGAAGTAGATCTTTTGAAAGATGCACTAAAAAAATTAAAATGAGTTGCAACAATCCCTTCAAAGTCTGCAGTGTGGCTGTCTGATCAGCACCTAATAAAAACCTGAGTGCGATATAAAACTTTTGTTTGTGTTGTGAGCATTTTTACTCATCTGCAGCATAAATGTCTTTAAAAACCCGTTAGGTCTTTGTAAGTTTAAAAATACTCAAGAAATTGTGTATATTTTTTTCCATCTAGTACACTTGCATACCGTTTTTTTTTTTTTTAATATTTAGGTTTTAATCTTCATTTTCACATATTTCAGGTTTCTAACCGTTGTTTTAATTCATCCTGATGGTGGAAAATAGCACCTCGCCTCTAAAGCAGATAATGTAAATCTATCTGACTGGGATTTACAGAAAATGTACTCCAATATCACTTTCTTCAAAAAAATAAAATAAAATGCATGCTGTACATTCACAAATAGCTTTTATTTCAATAGTTTTATACATTATAACCATTTCAAACACATTTTTTTATATTATAATAAAATGACTCTTCTTGTCATTTACATAAAATCAAAAATTTGTATATTAAGACTGCAAAATAGTACTCATGTAATTTTGTTTATAGCTTTGTACACGTACAAGTGACGAGGCATCCATTTCCTTTTAAGAATGCGCATTTTGAATGGGAGGAGTAGAAAGGGCAGCCATAAGCAGAGAGAATACAGGAGCTCTAGCAAGACAGCAGGCTAGCATGTAACACCACCATGTAACCAAAACTGACCTGGGTTAAAATCTAGAACCGTTTGTACCCTTTGACAGATCTGATGCACTGCGAGGCTGTGTTTGTTTTGAAAACAACAACAAAAAAAAAGCCTCAGAAAGGTGCATTTCAAAAGCATTTTAACCCAAGTCTTTTTTGCAAGCAAGGCTTTAAATAGTGTTGTCCCAAGTTCAAACTTGGAGCGCCACATCTAGCAGTTTACTGGAAATGTAACCCCAGAAAAAAAAAAAACATTGAGGAAAAGGTATAGAACAAAGAGGAAAAAAAACAAGATCATTCAATGAGATTGAAACCTTATACTGACACAGAAGGAACTGAGGCTTGCTTAACAAATATCAGCTCATCCCCACCATGATCTTGAGAACACATACAATCATTAAAAAGCTAAATCATGCTATATCAACTCGAGAAAATGCCTTTATCCTCTTTATCTTTAATGTCAAGAAAGACATATTGGCAACTATCAGGCTTCCAGAGGATATGCCTCATCTCTTGTTAGACAAACAGGAGATGTAAAAAATGTCCACTAAGGAAAAAAACCCAAACACATGGTTGTGTGTCAGTAACTGAAAGAAACAGAGAACCTACTTAATTACTCTGACATTCTGCTGAAGAATTTAAATGGTGACCAGCCATTAAAGCAATAAGTAGTCATGAGTACCCTCTTTGGTTTGGGACACACTTCACAAAATGATCTTTTGAAGGATTGACTTGCCAAAAAGTGAAAACTACTCCAGTAGGTGTCCATTTTACTTGAAATGCTCTCTTATTGATTATTACAGTGGAGGCGATTGGAAGGTCTCTGCCAGAAATAAAGGTGTTCTTCTGTAACAGAGGCATTTCTTATTAATTAAAAGTAAAGTCCTCAAAAAAGATTGCGCGTTACATTTCCTTTTGACTTTTAGCCCATCGTTTCTCCTTTTACAGCAGGTTAATAAAATACAGCCCCACGAGCCACCATAGAAAAGATTAATACAGAATATTCAACAATACAAAATAAGTTTGCCACTGCGAATTCTGATGACACTACAGCAGCCCTTCAGTGCTTTACATCCTCTGCAGCGGTATGAAAACGTGAGCGGAGGTTGCGCTCTACACTGTCACGGTGAAGCTGTGGCCTTACAGTACAAGAGAGAATCAACAGACTCGGCAGCTGTTGATGAAATAAACGAAGGGAAGCTACAAATATTTTACCCAAGAGCAAGACAAAAAAAAATTTAAAAAAAGAAAAAGTGCCAGCATGTGTGGTGGATTGTGTACATGAATGCATATGCAGAGAGAGACACTAGAAGTGTGTCAGGAGTAAGGAAGGGTATTTTTTTTTTTTTTTGGGTGGTGGTGGGTGAGGGGCCAAATCACTCAGTGGTGCGAGTAGGAGTACTAGGCTGGTGAAGGTTCATGGTTTTGCACAACCAGCCGGCAAAGTCCACTTCCTCCACTTCCGATCGCTTGATAAATGTGTGATTCTGAAAACAAAAAGAGAAACTTCTGTTTGCAACATTTACTGTCAACACAGAGGAAGGAATAACCCAGAGATGAACAAAGGTAGCATACACACCATCAGCATCTTCAGGTCTGCCCTTTCTGCTGGGTTTTTAATCAGGCTGCAAACACAGAAAGACAAAAAATCCTAACATTTATACATTTCCAGATTTCATACATACATACGGTGCTTTGAAAATCTCTTTATATTCAGTGAAAACCTATCGCTGCAAATCACATTAAACATTAGGGTGTGTGATTAGACATCCTTGGAATTAGACCAAACATACAACCAGAGTCACCATCAAGTGATTAAACTCACTGCTTATTTCTATGCACTGCAAAAAATTGTTTTTTTTTAAATAAGTGCATATTTTCTTAAATTGTGCTGGTAAATGAGACTCTTTGCCAATGGAATAAGACAATTTACATTTAAAATAAGAAAAAAAATCAAAAGTCTTTTATTTCAAGTGGTTAATATGCATTTAATCATCTTACTTTTTATTTTATTTGCATATCTTTTTATGTACAGACCTGAATTAAGGGAAAATACACGTATTTTAAGATATCTTATTCATTTCTAAATAGTATTTCAGCTTCTCAAAAAGTCATTTGACAAGCTGTGTCTGGAACAGTTATGCAACCTTTTGTCACGTAAAACTCAAAAAGGTTTCTGGGTTGAGTGGGACAAAATATGAGGAACTTTAAATGAATAAATACTTTTAAAAATTCCAATATCCGATAACCTGCAACATATTAACTGGTTGCAAAATTTGAGCTCGACTGAAATGAACTCAGATTTTCCAGCTGTATACTATCGACAAAGCAAACAGGGCTGCTTGTTTCTTGGTCTCACCATTTTGTCACAAAGTCCTGGAAGTCACTGGTGAAGACACCATGTGGGAGTTTAGGAGGGGGCTGTGGAGATAGCAAGTAAAAAAAAAAAAAAAGAAATGTCAGAAGAATTAAAACAAAACATTTTTTAAATATGATCAGATATGTTTTAAACCTCATTCACGATGTAGTCCAAAAGTTCAAAGATAGCCATGGCAGGTCTACTGTCCATCCCATGTCCTGTGAAGGGTTGCAAATGGTAAAATAAAAAAAAATAAAAAATTACATTTTGAAAACCAAAAAATCATTTTGATAACACACATTTGTATGGAATCTTATTGATAATAAATAAAAACAGTCGTACCGCTCACAGGCCTGCCCGGTGGTCTGGGTCTAGCCATGTTGGTGTGAGGTTCTCCCTCTGCCCCGTCCATGATGGCACGTCCAAAAATGGCCTCCAGCTCCCTGGCGTCTGGTGGGGGGATGGGGTAGCGGCCGATCGCCAGCTCCACCAGGGACAGGCCCATGCTCCACACGTCAGACTGAACTGAATAGTGGGTGCCCTGCAGTCTCTCCGGCTGTTGAGAAACAACGACGTCAGAGAGACAAGGTAGAGCCAAGACACCGGGGGAATGCGAGAGTGTTGGGCAAGGGGCTGAGGAGAGACAGGAAGCAGAGGAGAGGAGTGGGGAGGGAAGTGGCTGAAGGGATGGAGTGACAAGAAGGGGTGGGGTGTGGAAAAGAAGACAAAGAGTGAAAGGGTTTGGCAGGAGGGGGAAAGCTTTACAATATTTGAGTTGGAAGAGTATCCAAGCCCAGGTGAGGGTTGAACATAAGTGAAAAACAACAAACTGCACATCAATGATGCTCTATAGAAAAATGATGTGACTGGAAACACAAGTACACCATAGTGCTTCCTCTCAGGTATCTCAGATTGCGTGGGGAGACGGACAAGAAAGTGCAGGCACACATTCACTGCCAAAGAGCTCTTTCCTGGGCACAGCCCTCTCCTCTTGGCAAGAGGGATTAAGAGGGAGTGAGGGGAAGAGAGGGCGGGCCTGAGAGGAATGGAGAGGGAAAGTGGGGATAGGGCCAGAGGAAAAAGGGGTGGGGGCGCAGGCGTGCAAAGCTGACTCACCGACATGTAGGAGCGTGTTCCAACAAAGGAGTTGGCCATGGAATCTATGAGCTGGCCGCTCACGCCAAAGTCACACAGCTTGATCTCCCCACGGGAGTTGACCAGGATGTTGGAGGGTTTCACATCTACAGCAGAAGGAACAAGACGAACAAACACAAATGCTTTAGATCTTGAGGATCCCACCCACACCTTATTCTAACATTCCTCACATTCCCATGTGCCATGAGAGGCATATGAGTTACATCAATAGAGATTAGAGCACTGTTTTCACAACCCATCTCTTCACAAATGTTGTCTGTAGTTTAAAGTACAAATAGTTTTTGTGAAAAGTATTTATCTGTCTCTACTGAGGTTTGGTGTGATAGAGCAGTGAAGTGGCATTAAGTTTAATTTTTAAATTATATTAAAAAAAAAAGTTTGGTTTCCATTTCTAATGTGCCTAATTTACTCTGGCAGTCTTATTTTAGGTTACCAATCTATGCAACTGCAGCTTTTTTGTAAAAGTGGTGTAAGAGAACATTAGTGATCAAAACACTTCATCCAGACGGAAGATTCAGGAGATATTTAAAGGAGAATGGGTTTCTAAGACCGTTACATGAGTTTAAAACTTGACCTGAAAACACTTCAGTCCAATATCTAAATGCAACACCTCTGGCAAGGAGAGCATAAACTAGAGAAGCAGCAGTGCTCAGGTGAAGGAATGAGGATAAGATCTAAACATGGGGAAGTCATGGAAGCAGACCTGATGGAGGCTACAAAGGACCTGAGAGAAGAGGGTGGGTGGTCACCTTCTAGATACAAGACACCAAACATAAGCTTGGGGAAAAAAAGGAAATGTATTACTTTCAAAGAGTTTCTGCATCATTATGATGCAGAGCAAGTCCAAACTGTTTAAAGAAATGAAAACTGTGTAAATCTGATCTTTAACATTTTCAGCAGGAGGAGCAATGAACAGGTTACCTAAAAAGTTTGGACTCATTTTAAGGATAAAATAACATCTGTATACTTTTCCTTCCAGTTTACATCCTTGTAAAAGTACAAATCATATCAACACCCCAAAAAAAAAAAAATTACTTTTAAAGGAGTTTGGCCAGTTGAGTTGCCAGTGGCTTCCGACACACCGCAGCTCCTGAAAATATCCTGTTTACAAAGTATTCCTGTCCTTCACATTTCCAGTTTTACACAGAAATATACCCTGCAGAAATAACTATGTAGAGCTGAGCTGCCCTGCTGTCTACCTTTTAGAACAGGGTATGGGACATGTGAGCAGTGAGTGAGAAAAAGGTGGCATGAAAGAGCAGGAGAGCGATGGAGGGAGACAGGCAGGGAGGGTCAACAGGGCGCGGCTGCTCTCTAATCACATCCGAGAGGCTGTAATTACCGCCTGAGCTCACAGACAACTCCATCCTGGAGTACCACCGACCCTGAAGACGGGACGACTTCGCTGCAGTCTTGATGTGCCTCTAACCACTCCTCTGACAGAAACTTCCAACAGGACAACCTAGATTTTGCACTGCTGCATATTATTTTCCTGGTTCTTGATTTAAGATAAAAGTCATCAGAAACCACCCTCTTCAGGATTACACCTCAGATTTCGGTGTGAATTATAAATACCTTATAATATCTATCAACAATAATGCGATGAGTAACCACTATTCCTCTACATTACAAGCATTCATTTTATAGTGAAAGTCTGGGCATTAGATTTTTTAACAAAATCCATCTTAAACCATTAAGAAAAAAATCTACAATAGCTGAATGTTTTAACTTTTATGAGTAAATAGGATGAGGTTCAAACAGAGTCCAAACTATGAGGCAGATATGCTACCATTACCCACTTAAAGGCAGTTATACGTGTATATCACCGATTTAATGAGCTGCAAACTACCAGAAGTGCTAACTTTATAACTCATATAACTCTTACAGCATTCTATAAGTCAAAAATCATATTAGAATACAAGAACTTGGAAAAAAAACCCATCCACAATCACATGTCCCATCAAATTACTTGTTAAATTAACGCAGCATGAGGGGATGGATGCATACGGAGGGTTAAACAACCAAACATTGAGGCCTGGATTACCAGAGAATACGTAAGGAATGCATAAGCACATTTTCCACAAATGTAAACATGCTGGAAGAAGGCTGGAGCCAGACAAGCTGGTGCATAACTTCAAAAACTTGGATCAACAAATGTTCACCAAGGAGCAGGCGAGAGATCAGGAGCTGTGGTCATTGAACCAAATATCTTCTGCATTTTTGCTTATTCTTTACTCATATGCATTCATAGACAACTGTATACCATTAACTGGCTGAACATTTGTCCGCTAACTTCCCTTTGTAATAAAAAGTATGCTTCGGTGAAACAGCTGCAATAACTGCCTAGATTGGAAAAAACTTCAAAACATTAATAAAAGTATAGGCTGGAAAGCAGAATATAAGTAATGAAGGATGTTTGGAGACCATTCCACATTCTAGCACATTTGTTGGTCACTGATAGTAATTTTTCCAAGCAAAGCAAACTGTATATGTTATTGTGAACAAACAATCTGGTTGTAACAAATTCAGTAATCAGCAACAAACCAGAGTAATCTAATTTCCATCATTCTGCAGTCAAAATGTTGCAGATATCATTTTAATAGGGTGTCTATTTACCTCTATGCATGATCTGGTGCTTCTCTCGCAGATAGGCTAATCCTCTTAACACCTGTAAACGAGACAAAAATCACTGTAAAAAGAATAAATAAGCGCTACTGTTATAGGGCTGGATAAGTAACAAATATATTGTTCATCTCAGAGTTTTTCTCCCCCCAAAAAAGGGAAATTATCATCAATAACCAACTTTTATTTTATTTATGATAGCTTGAGATACTCAGCTCTTCAAGTAAATCCTGTTTTATAGTCAACCAAGTTGCTACTTTAAAAAGAAAAAACAAAAAAAAAAAACAGTAAAGAGAGAAAAAAAAAAAGAAAGAGCTGACGGGTTTTAATTGACGTGTGCTTGGTACACAGTGTGCTGTGGTAGATGGCTGTTTCATACTGAAACCCTCTTGAACAGCAACAACAAAAAAAACCTGCAAAAGGTGCAAAATGGCAAAGAGAGGAAATGATTTGCACCCGGTTGAGACGGCACCTGCTTTCAGTAGACAAATTAGCAGGAAAGTAAGGAGAATAAGAAATAAAAGTGTGTAGTTTGGATTTGAAGACAAATCAAGCATAAAGACCAACACACCATCAGAACCGTAAACTCTGATGCTCTGGGAACAGCTAATATAAAAGCCAATGCGACCTATAAAACATTTGACCTCATTTCAAATACATCTACAGGATCTTCAGCAGCTGAATTAAAATGTAAACCAAGTAGTTTAGTTGAAAAATAAACTTAAATTTGAATTATTTTGATGGAGTTTAAGGGTACTACTTTTTTTATTGGAATCTATTTTGTGATTATTAATGTCCAACATTTAATCAGCTCTTACGTTTAAAAAAACAAAACAAACAAAAATCTTACTTAATATACAAGTGCAACAAATACGTGGTCCCCCAGATGAAATCACTGTTTAACTAACAGACATTGAAAAAAAATCTTCGGATGATTATTTCAGTAATCATGCAGCCTTTGCAATACTAACATTCAGACCATAAAATAGTTTAAGCAGTAGATTAAGAGGTTGTTTGTCTGCTTACAATTAATATTATTTATAGTTCGGTGTGTTTTTCTCTAAAATCATCTAAAAAAAAAAAAGACTTCTCCAAATTAAAATCTATGCCGTCTTCAAGCTCTCTGGAATTCTAGTTCTGAGCTCTGCAAAGAACAGTCGACAAGTTTTGACTACATAGATATTTACTAAAAGAGGAACTGATAAAAGATTGTGGCAGAGATGCAACTTATTTAATTCTCACCAGTATTTTTAATCATAAAAAAGAAAGCTGGTAGAGCTGTAGTTAGCCCAAATGAGCTACATGACACAATAAAACAGTAGCCTTTGCTCAAGATCAATTTCATTTAAAAGGGCAAAAATAACACCTAACGTTAGCTGTTATTTTTAAGCATGTCCATTAGCTTTTGTTGGACACTTCCAATTTAGAGAAAAAGACCATCCATTTTAAATGCTGCAACACAAAACTATCAATGAGGGCTCCATGAAAAGGTTAGAGGTAGAACAGATATAGCATCTTTAAGAAGGGCTATGGAAAAATGAATAAATGAAACAATTGGTTTATTTATCAACCAGTTCAGTTGTAAACTACTGGCATATGGGATATCTGCCAGAATTCAAAGATTTTGCATCCCAATAAAAAAAAAAAAAAAAAAAAAAAAAAAAAAGACTTATAAACTACACCTGTTTATAAACAAATTATAAAGATTTTCAATTTGTTGCTAGAGTCAAATAGTAGATCATGTTTAGTTTGGGCAAACTGTTGCCAAAATAACTATAAAAGTAAAAAAAAAAGTGCATAAAAGGTTATAAAACATATACTTTATGGAATACGTACAGCTATGCTAACTTTTCCCAGGATTTCTTCAGGGATTCTTCTGGCTTCCTTCAGAACCTGGTCAAGTGAGCCACCATCCTGTTGAGACAAAATATATACATTTAAACTAGTGGAAATAAATTATAGTTTTACTACCAAAGATAAAAACACTGCCTTTATTTCCCATGAAACAGATAACTGAGCTGATTTAACAGAGGGCAAGTCTGAAAGAGCAGTCTAAGGCCTTTTCTGAATATTATGGGACAAGTGGAATAGTTCACACCTGGTAACATGTTCAGAGTACACGTCAACCTCAACACAGATCGAATCTGCTATGATCAGCTTTCCAGAGGATATTAAAAGGATGAAATGAGTGTAGGCCTGTTACTATAACAAATTTTGCTGGACGACATGTTGTCCAAGAATTTGGTTTGAATCCCAAGTTCTCCCTCATTGATTTTTTTCTTCCTCAGACTCGCTGCTCCTCATTAACAAAGTTCTCATTCTACACTTGCTACGCTAAGGAAATGACAAGGAAAGGGGTGAGTGGAAACAAACGTGCTGGAGTGAAAACCTTCTGTCATCCAGACTCTTTAATAGAAAGAGTGCGAGGTATAAGGAAAATCAGCAGGCGTGTAAACGGAATTTATAGAGCTCATTTAAATTCACCTTGCGATTTATCGTTTATTATGACAGGCTTTAACAAGTGTTAAGCTTTTCATCAGTTTGTAACCAGTGGCGTTTCATTGTCTCAGCAGACAAGTAATGTTTTTCTCAATATTAGTAATTTTCTTATGTTTCTATAAGTCAGAGCTTGACCCAAAAAAGTGGACATAATGTCCCTAAATCTACAGAGTGGATCCAAATTTAAAAAATAGATGATGTAGGTAGAAATGTGTTTAGCTCATCCGCACGTTTCTATCAAAGCATCAAGAAATGTTAAAAACTATAATGGCTTAATGCGCAAGAGTTCAAAATTCTGTCTCATTTGCAAAAATACAATTAAACATATTTAAAACACAGTAAAACTTTTTTTTTTTGCATGTCTAATGGTTCATGTCACACTACACCTGTGACGTGGAATTCTGCGCTCCATTCATGTGAACACATCGTTATTGTTTGAATATATAAAATGGAAATGGATATACATCACTGACTTCTGACTCAAAGCTATACTGCTCTGAACTCAGGTTTGACCTCATTACCAAGTCTTAGTACAAACATCCAAGTCGGATCAAAGCATTAAAAGCATTAACAGAAAAAAAAGATAAAAAATAAATAAGCAGATGTATGGAATTTTTTGCGAAAAAGCCAGAAAAAAACAACCAGTAAGAGTCTCTCACCATGTGCTCCATACAGATACTGATCTCTCCATCACTGTAAAAAGCTCCATAGAAGCCCACGATGTAGGGAGAGTTGCACTCGTGCAGCACTTGCAGCTCTCGGATGATCTGGTTCCTGATGGCAGGTTTGATCTCCAGGTGTATTAACTGAGAAAAAAGGTAAAAACATCTGGTCCTGTAAAACTGGAGTTATAGCTTTCACTGAGGGCATGTAAACCTAAACAGTACATCACAGTAGAGAAAGTTAGTTTTCATATTTCAGCAATTGCCCAGTTAAAAAAAAGAGAAAGTTGTTGCCAAATTGTTTTACCCTTTTGCTCAGAAATCCTACTGACATGTTAAAACGGTCTACAAGCTGGAGCATGCTTGAGCGTCTGTATGGAGGGTTTCTGCAGGTTCAAATACAAGCTGTTTATAATAATCATCTTAAAATGAAGCAACTGGATTAGAATGAGCTTTTATAATGATAATAATAATCGTTATTATACAAGTATCCGGGGGTACAGCAGAAGAAAATGGATGGATAGATTATAAAAGTAAAACAAATAAAAATAATAATAATAATTTTAGAAATTAATAGCTATAGCTAATTTAAACAGCAATATTCTATTAGGGGTTTGTTGAATAGTCTGGATGGTTAAAAAGGGTAATAGAAGAAGGAAAAAAAACAGAATAACACATTTAAAGGAAAACTAAATTAAATTTAAGTGTTAGCATGGAGTGTCTGGGCACATTATAGACTTGCTGACAAAATAAACTACTACAACTATATCAAATAAAAAAACAGTTTAAGTTTAAGCAGATTTTGCAAAAGAGACACACTCTGTAAGTAATCAAACAGAGATCTCTGGCAAAACCTCTAGGTCATTGACCCAAAACACTACGATTTTTTTATTTCTGTGGTGGATTGTTCACCTAAACAGGAAGTTTATTTCAAAAAGTTGTTAGGATTGCAAAAACTGCAGCTGATGGATTTCTGGTTTTACCGATTTATCGATCAATCCTGCTTCCTCAAAAGAAACTAATGTGTTTAAGATTTGTTGATAGAGGCACCTGTATTGAAACCTAGATTAACAGAATAATGCTTAAATAGATTATCCTAATTTAGGCCAACAGCATGAACTCCTAGATTTTGATTGGACTGAAATGTGCATGCTGTGAGCTGTTTCATGCGTAGTAGTGATGCATGGATGCACAAAAAAAAGCTCATCCTTTTGCGTTTGACCTGCTTTTGTTGCACTTATTTTTGCATTTGACCTTTTGATTTATTTATTTTTTCATATGCTACACATTTATATTGTTTTTCTTTGCCAATTAAGCCCAGTTCATTTTTCTCTGATCCACCTGCAACAGCGGTAAAATGGCTACGAACCAGCGCATAGAGGTGGATAATCCAGGTCCAGAAAGTAAAAAGGATGTAGAGATCAGTTCCAACCATTTGCATTTCTAGCTCCACAACACAGTCTAATCACCCAAGAAGCTAATCACCTGGTAAAGTGAACAGGATGAAGGGGGTTTTTCACTTTTTAGACCTGAATTATCCACGTCTGCCATAGCAGCAACACTCTGACCATCGATCAGTTCGATTTGACAGAGTTGCAGCTTGGGAATCCTTCTGAACTTTGTCCCCTCACCCCTGCTTTACATGCTGACTCTCTCTGTTTTTGGGGCAATAGTATCTGTGTTCACCTGCATGCATGTGTTAAAGGTGAGATGATGATAGTCTGAAGAATGTGGAAGTGTGCAAATAAGGGGGCAAATGCCTGCTTGAACAAGCCGAAACACACCTGTTTACCTTCAATAAACATGGTGCTGGTAAGAGGGATATGGACAGATCAAAGAGCAAAACAATAAAGCGCACTTACTAAGTGACGTCCTGACACGTTGCTCTCCATATTTTAGTTTCCTGATTTCTGTCTCATTGGTGACAGTATCAACGCTAGCCCTGCGTGATGGTGTCACCAGACGCACAGCGGCGGGAGTGATCAGAGACCAAGCAGTTACACCAAGCTTTTTTGCCAATGGGAAGGGAGCCAAATGTCAATTGTTAGCGTGTCCAAACATGTTTGAAAAATCGCATTGACACGATATTTTCAGTGGGAAACAGGATTTTCTGTTAAATTGTTGAAACAAAGACAGTGCGATCAAAATATGAGCTTACCATTTTAAATGAGATTTTTGTACTTCGTGTTCACCAGTTGCAAAATATGCATCTCACTGTTAGTGGTACAAGTGAAAGAGTTGCATTTTGGGGGAAAATGAGTTAATTTCTTAAGATTGCAATATTTCAAAGTTGTTTTTTTTATTCGAAGTCCAAAAACAATTCTTGGCAAGTATAAACTGAAACTATCTCGATTAAAAATAGTTTATGGGACAAAAACTATGGCTTAAAATCTTCTTAATGAATTGATAGATGAATAGATAAAATGGGAAAAGTGTATTTGACTAAACTTTCACTAAAATCGCTAAAATTAACACTGCTCAAATATCACATTTAATTTGAATATGTCTCTGGAAATAATATGTATGATGATAAAGGAGGCCATTTACAAATGTAATTAATCAGCAATGGACTGCCATCCCTTTTGCTGGTGTTATTGAGAGCAACAGTATTTCATTGTATTTTTCGGTAACCTTTCTGAAATCCTGAAAGCCATCTACCATTGAAAGGTGGTGAGCGTTCACATTTAGCTGCGGTAATTGGTTGAGCTGATCTTGCATTAGTGACATTAAATTAGCCAGGAGTCTTTATGGTGAAACCCATTACCTGGGCTTTACATGCTGTGCCTAATACAAGTCAGAAACGTGTGCCCAAGTCTGGCTTTTCTCAGCAAATGTATGAAAAAACCTCTTTGAAGTAAAAATGCTGAGACAACAACAACAAACAGCTTAAGGATTTCACCTTTCGAGCCATGACCAAACCCGAAGGTTTGTGCCGGACTTTGTTGACCACTCCACCGTTTCCAGCTCCCAACTCGCATATTGGGTCGAAATCTTCATCCTTCAGCTCGCCAACCTGAGCTTTCTGGGTAAGGAAGGCTTCCAGACGTTTTCTCTGTTGTTCATCCAGGTCCAGCTCACCCAGTTTCTTCTGTAAGGCCTCAAGGTTGGCTCTTTGAGAAGGATCCACAAGTTAAAAAGCAGGAACAACATTTGCATGAGGTACCTTTATAAATGGGGTTTCCCTTAACTAGTAACAGTGTGGAACTTGTAATTAAAAACTGGACCTCAGAAAACTGGCAAGTAATTCCACAATTTACTCAACTCTTTTGTTATTCTGACATATATTATTTTTGAGGGGGCAGTTTAATGTTAAGTATATATACAGAATGAAGATCTGTAGAAATTGGTCATGTATTAGAGTAATAAAGATTATTTCCCCATCATTGAGCTAATTTGGACTTAGCATAGCTTTACTTACTCAGATGCAGCATCGATGGTGTTTGAGGTGGCCTGACCCTCCCCAATGGGCGTAATGTTCAGAGGAACTGGTCTTCTTTTGGGAGCCATTTCAATATTAACTAAACTAAACGACGTCCTAAATATTAACCCTTTTGTGCGACGAGGCTAGGTGCTGCTAATCTAAACTTGCCCTTAAACAAAAACCTGTAAAAAAAAAAAGAGCAACAGGATCCGCTCCAAGTGGCTAACGACTTGGCTAGTTAACGTTAGCAGGGTTAATGAACTTTTGGGAACATGTCAATTAGCAGAATTAATAAACCGTGTCATACCGATAAGCGCTTCAAATGTCAGATGGTTTTCGAGCTATTCTAAAAAAATAAAAATATGTGACAGGCTGGTTTTATCCGGTTTCTTGTCCGTTATCTACCTGCTGCTATTAGCCATTAGCCAGCTAGCTGCGAACTAGCTAGCGCCGGGTGAGAATCGTGCTTTGAGTTTCTGAGCCGTTAAAACAGCAGTCCTCTCCTCTCTGAGGGTCAGCGCAGCCGCCACAGGGTGCAGAAATACCGGGACTCTTCTACGGTGTCCACCTCGGTGTTTAAACTCGAGGCGTGAAACGTACAGGTCTTCTGAGGGCTGGTGCCTCAATACAGGAAGCAGCAGCAGTGAGCTGCCTGCAGTTCCAGACCTCTGTGTGTATGTGACACCCACTGGGAGAGTCCTGCATAAATAGCGCGAAAAGCTGCCAGGAAACCTCAAAGGACACGCAAGAAAAAAAATGGATGTGATTGGACATACGGTATGTAGCTTTTGATAGCACTGACAATTTACTGTCTTAATTACATAAAAGCCAAGTTCAGTCGTTTCTGCAGCGATTTATGTAGCGAGTGTGTCGATCATCAACGATCCGAATGGAAATGACAGTTCCTTTACTGAACGATGAGCCGGACATTTTTTTTTTTTTAGAAATATTTCCATATTGGCTTTAACATTTGTATACGGGTGTCCTAAAATGCAGTAAAGATTACTTTTTGTCATAAACCTTTGATGATCTAATCAATTTCCGTAACAGGAAAATTTCAACTAAATACATAAAAACAGGAATTATCAAATCCCTTTTTTATTTTTACGTAACTTTCATAATAAATTTAACTTAACCTAACCCTATAAAAATCCCATATCAAATGTGCCCAGAATTGTTCGGATCAAGCAGGGAGTCGGAATTCCCATCACTTAGTTGGTACATTTAAGTCTCTTTAGTGCCACCTCCTGGAAATAACAGGGAAATGAGTGTTTATATTAAAATTGTATGTGGTTAAGATTTAAAATTGTAATGAAAAGATTTAAGTTTTTTTTTCATAAGCCTTAATAAAAATTTTATAGAAAGAAAACGTATGTGCCCTTCCACTTAAACTGATAAAATAGTGGAAAATGAATTCTGGTTTTTAGTCTTTTAACATCTACCTGTGTGGATAGAGATGTAGGAAACAGGCCTATTTCTGTGTATGTGGTTATTTTACGGTCACAGAGATCATCAAAACCAGATAGGTGGAAAAGCTTCACTCACAGCCACTTGTGGATATGAAAACTAATGTGAGACACATTCACATTCATACAAACAAAAAGAAGACCAGAGCCTTTTCTTAAGAACTGACTTTAATTAATTCAACACATCAATAACAGCTGTTATAATACGATCATTTCCAATTTTACAGTTTCATCCTCGACAGGCAACAAACGTGTCACCACATCTGTGCATTTGGTACAAAGGAAAATCCCCACTTTAACCGGTCCTTTCAGTTCTCAGTGGCATCAGGAGTCCAGTGGCGCTGCATTTCAACAGCTTCTTATTGTCTGTTTGCCTGTAAGAATCGAAGGCAATTCAAGGCTTGATAAAATATTTTATTGTCTAAATAGGAACATATAAAAAAAAACTAAACAAAAACAAAACATTTACATCAATTGTAAGCCTCTGCGCATATTACCTTACGATTTGTTTTTCAATAATGGATGCCACTACAAAAAGAACTGAGGCTCAGTTCCACAGTAGCAACCCACACCGCCTCATCTTTGACCATCAGCCCACGAGAAGTCAGAGACCACCTCACAATAAATGAAGGAAAAAAAAAAAAACTTCATCTTTATGTCTATAAATTGCAATTTCCAAGTGAAAGACCAGTATTAGAGTTCTCCATTTTGGTTCCAAGACCCCTCTATGGAGTATCCTGTTCTCTCTTACAGGCAAAGTGCCGTCGGTTTAGGGTGGATCGCCATCATTGTTCCCCTTTGTATCTATTCCATATGCATTTCAAGGTAGGGAGGGGAAACAAAAAAAATGGAAGACAAGATCTGAATGAATTACTCTTGAGCCATCTACTCAGACGATGCACCTGCAACATTCAGAATCCAAAACCACGGGTGATTACAGTGCACCTGAGCCAGGCTAAAGAAAACCAGAAGATCAACCTGTTAAAACTGCAACATGGAGAGCACACCCTGTGGACCTGGACTGAACCCAACTCTCTCACAGTGAAGCAGCACTGCAACTTTCATAGAGACCTGTCCTGGATTCCTAGAGTAATATATGAGAACTGGTTTAAGAGTCCCTGTTTATCATTTGCTACACAAGAGTCTTTCAGACTAAGAAAAAAAAAAAACCCAAAACATCTCAAAGTATTACATAAAAGCAGACCTCTAGCAACACGATTTTTTTTATACAAGAAATAAATCTGAAGCCTGAACATCTAGGCTGAGCATCTTTATCCGGGAGGCAGGCATCAAATATTTACACTAGTGCAGAGGCTGAGATACATTAGAGTCTTTAGAACGCAGCAAATATGGTCTCATTTTACTCCAGCTAATAGATACAACCTCACTTAGATAAGAGCCTGAAAAACAGGGTTGGAGAGGAAGGGAGCAGCTGTCGGATGCAAACAGGACCCTTTGTGACCAAGTAGGGAGGGGTGGGGTGAAGATTATTGCATCAGAAAAATGCATTAACGCAGAGTTTGATCTAGCTAGCACTCTTTATCCAGAGTAGAGCCACTGACCTTCAAGCTATCAGTTGCCCACAGCAAAATCCCTCCAAGTCCAGATGCCACTGAAAGTAACAGCACAAGCTGAAGCCAAGGGTTGCTCAACTAACCAGCAACTAAAAAAAAATACATATCAAATAAATAATTCCAAGCTGAAAAGTTATCAGCATTTAGCATCCGGATCTGTTAATTTGACTCAAAACACTCAGCAGGAAACAAACTAAAACACCTCAAACTGAGCTCTCGCCTTTCTGGCTTCCTAAAATGGACTTAAGGTAATGGGATTAAATCTCCACCACTTAACAAACCACCCGCCCCCTTAAAAAAAAAAAAAAAAAAAAAAAAAAAAAATACAAGACGCCCCCTTAAAAAAAAAAAAAAAAAAAAAAAAAAAATTAAATAAAAAAGGCACCAAACCTCCATAACCAGCTCCTGCCAACAACCGCTTCTGCTTTAGAACCATACCAGTACAGTCACATTGATGTATAACATGTTTGTGGGACTCCTAAATTTCCATTTGTTTTTTCTGAATATTTTTAACTCTCAACTCTCTGCTTCCCTCATCGCCACCACTGGCCTGGTAATACTCACACCGACTACCGTTCAAATGGGTTTTATTGTTGCTGTGAAGAGAAAATGGCTGGTTGGAACAAAAGGATAGAAAAGTGTTTATATATATAAAAAAAAAGGCCAGAAAAAAAAATGTCCAGTGTAAAATTGGATTTAGAAACTGTTGTCTGTCCACTTGTTTCAAACCAACTCCCTGGCCAGTCTGCAAAGCGTTTAATGACTGAGGTAGGTTCTCTTTAGGACCAAGTAAAAACTGAAAGCAGACGCCATGGTGACCATAAAGATGAATTTCTAAGAATGATAACTCAAATTTTAAATCATTGTTATAGATTCCCAAAATATTGTTGTCCTCTAAAAATTTCATGCCTTAAGTTTCTTTTTTTTTTTTTAACCCTTCATCAAAAAGCTACCAAGAAGCCGGTTATTTTGCAAGCTCCTAAACAATGTGACAAAACCCAGATGCAAAGAGTGAGTATCAGTCCATGGCTAAAAGAGCCGGTCATTTGGGGTTTATACAAAGGGATGGGGAGGAATCTGAGAAGGGGAAAAAGGCTGAGGTGGAGCAGGGGGGGATGCTCGATCCGGTCAGTGGTTCTAGTGGAGGCAGGACGGTACAGAGTCTCTCTGCAAGGTGGTGACTGTGCAAACAGAGCTGCTTCCACAGATGTGCAGATAAAGAGGACCCCTCTCACTCTAAGCTCAAGAGTCATGACAGAACATGTTTGAGTGTGTGTTTATTTTGTTTGAAATCAAACTAGAGCTGCTAAAATGCTCTGATGCTCGAGGACCAGACAGTTGTGGCATCTAGAGGGTGACTGTGTTCCTGTCCTCAAATTTTAAGCCCCGCCTCCTGCCTCTCTGCCTCAGCATGTCAGTCTGTGAGGAGGGACAGAGCTGCAGGGTCAGTATGCAGTGACCAGGTCCTTGTCGTAGTTGTATCGGCCCCTTTTCGGGGCTGGACTATCAGCGCTGTCCTCTGTGTCATCACTGTCCCCTCCAGCCTCGCCACCTTCCTCCTCAGAGGAGGAGTCCAGAGTCAGATCTACCACTACTCCTCCAGCTGCCGGCGCTGCTGCAGAACCTCCTGTGGCTCCAGGCATCCCCACAGAGCCGCTTCCAGACCTACCCGACTGACTGGTGCTGCTATGCGCAGGTGAATGTCCGTTTGCTTCAGGAATGCCTGAGAAAACCGGAAAAAAAATTAATTAATAGCAACAAAAAAAATGCATACAGTGTCTTCGAAAAGTATTATCTTCACTAAAAACTTTTTGAAATTTGCAAAAGGAAAAAAAAAAAAAAAAAGGGGGGGGGGGGATTTAATGTGATAGACTAGCACAAAGTAGAACATCATTGAAAAACTTTCATGATTTTCTAATGTGTTATTAGAAAAAAAACTAATAAAAGTGGTTCAACATTTTCATTTATTGCTCAGGGTGAATCTTTTGAAGAATCACCGCTTGCTGGAATTACAGCTGCAAGACTGTCAGGGTGTCTCCACAGCTGTTTGCATAAAGACTGAGGTATTTGCTTAATATCTTAAAATGCTTAAAGAAAGCACACATTAGGTGAATTTTCCTTTGAAATCAATTTTTAAGTCTTGCCAGGAAACAGATTTAGCATTGAAACTTTGAGCAGGCAAGTCTAGAACATGAATATGATCTTATTCTAGCTCTGGCTAATTTCAGGCTCATTATTCTGCAGGACAGTGAACCTCCAAATTCAGAATAGCCTTACAGCCTGTAAAAAGTTTAATTCATTGTACCCTTATAAATACCTTGCTCCATCTTCTCATTAACTCTGAATGACATAGTTAAAGCTTCCTCACATGCCTCTATGCCAGGGAAGCGTCCACCTTTGTATAATCCATAATTTCCCT